GGCAGGTCCTACAGGCCCTAGTTTTTTGTTGCACCTGGACTACTGCCCAGTTGTATGGTCATGTGCTGCAAAAAGGACATAGGTAAATTGCAGTTGGTCCAGAACAGAGCAGCACTTAGATGTACACGCGGGAAAGTGTCAGTAACATGCATGTCAGTCTCTCCTGGCTCAAAGTTGAGGAGAGATTGACTGCATCACTATTGGTCTTTGTGCGAGGTGTTGATGGGTTAAAGGTACCGAACTGTCTATTCAAGCAGTTGGCACAGATTAAAAAAACATATAAAAGACCACCTTACGGCACAATGGGGACTGTGAAGAAACACAGACATTTGTATATATTTTGTATTGTATTTTGCACTGTATTATGTAGTGTTATGTATATTATGTAATTTATTTGTTGTTTTGTTTCCTGTTTGGACTCCAGGAAGAGTCTACATACTGAAATAGGGGAGCTTTTTGAGCTGCTTGTCTTCACTGTTCTAACATGCACAATGACCTCTCCACTGCCTATCTGCTGTTTCTGTTTGTTCTTCTGCTCATATTGAACATTGATGCAGCTTTGAATGCTTTTATGTGTGGTATGATTGCTAGTTAGTCTATTGCAGATCTAGATAAACGATCCACCTACCACTATTGTCACTAAATGGTGGAGAGAAGGCAGGATAGACACTTAGACTGGTAGACTCTACTGACCTGTGGTATAGTAAAAGTTAGCACGTGGAGAAGTACCAAAACACCTTGATATATGGGAGGCGCATGCAAGCAGATGAAGAAATTTGGCTAGGATGGAAGAAATTATATTGTAAAATCTGCAAAAGAGCAAATGTAAACCAGGGACAAACACTACCCAATAAAAAAACACAAAACCCTCCCCAAAGCAAATAAAAAGTTTTACAACCCTCCCCTATTTTCGATCTGTCCCTTATCAATTGGACCTGCGTTGAACACAAATATCAGTGAAAGTAACACAAGTTTGTTATTGCAGCTATTGCAGCTATGCCATGGGGGGGGGGTCATATGTCATATATTACTGATGTAATAAAGGTGTTCATTGGTCTGTGGTAGGTGGCTCAATATCACACTCTCCCGAAGGTAGGGGGCAATGTAGTGACCTTAACCCGACACCTAGTGATCTCATTAAGAGGTTTGACCCTCTTGGCGTAAAGGTTAAGATATTGGCTTGACGGGCGCTGTTAGGGCTCCCGGTTAGGGCTACCCCATGAATTTGCTACAATACCAATTATTTTACATTTACAGAAGGATTACTTTTTTTTGCCAGACATGCAGAGATGCGATTTGCCACCTGGTTATCAGAAGGGGGAAAGGAGAAAATGAATTGTGTGTCGTTTGCGTAGCAATGATAGGAGAGACCGTGTGAGGATATGACAGAGCCAAGTGACTTGGTGTATAGAGATAATAGGAGAGGGCCTAGAAATGAGCCCTGGGGGACACCAGTGGTGAGAGCACGTGGTGCGGAGACAGATTCTAGTCACGCCACCTGGTAGGAGCGACCTGTCAGGTAGGACGCAATCCAAGAGTGAGCAGGGCCGGAGATGCCCAACTCGGAGAGGGTGAAGAGGAAGATCTGATGGTTCACAGTAACAAAGGCAGAAGATAGGTTTAGAAGGATAATAGCAGAGGAGAGAGAGTTAGCTTTAGCAGTGCGGAGAGCCTCCATGGCACAGAGAAGAGCAGTCTCAGTTGAATGACCAGTCTTGAAACCTGACTGGTTTGGATCAAGAAGGTCATTCTGAGAGAGATAGCAGGAGAGTTGGCTAGAGACGGCACGCTCAAGAGTTTTGGAGAGAAAAGAAAGAAGGGATACTGGTCTGTAGTTGTTGACATCGGAGGGATCGAGTGTAGGTTTTTTGAGGAGGGGTGCAACTTTCGCTCTCTTGAAGACGGAAGGGACATGGCCAGCGGTCAAGAATGAGTTGATGAGCGAGGTGAGGTAAGGGAGAAGGTCTCCGGAAATGGTCTGGAGAAGAGAGGAGGGGATAGGGTCAAGCGGGCAGGTGGTTGGGTGGCCGGCCGTCACAAGTCGCAAGATTTCATCTGGAGAGAGAGGGGAGAAAGAAGTCAAAGCATAGGGTAGGGCAGTGTGAGCAGGGCCAGCGGTGTCATTTGACTTAATAAATGAGGATCGGATGTCGTCAACCTTCTTTTCAAAATGGTTGACGAAGTCATCCACAGAGAGGGAGGAGGGAGGGGGAGGAGGAAGAGGATTCAGCAGGGAGGAGAAGGTGGCAAAGTGATTCCTAAGGTTAGAGGCAGAGGCTTGAAATTTAGAGTGGTAGAAAGTGGCTTTAGCAGCAGAAACAGAGGAAGAGAATGTAGAGAGGAGGGAGTGATAAGATGACAGGTCCGCAGGGAGTCTAGTTTTCCTCCATTTCCGCTCGGCTGCCCGGAGCCCTGTTCTGTGAGCTTGCAATGAGTCGTCAAGCCACCGAGCAGGAGTGGAGGACCGAGTCGGCCGGGAGGATAGGGGACATAGAGAGTCAAAAGATGCAGAAAGGGAGGAGAGGAGGGTTGAGGAGGCAGAATCAGGAGATCGGAGGGAGAAGGATTTAGCAGAGGGAAGAGATGATAGGATGGAAGAGGACAGAGTAGCGGGAGAGTGAGAGCGAAGGTTGCGACGGCACATTACCATCTGAGTAGGGGCAGAGTGAGTAGTGTTGGAGGAGAGCGAGAGAGAAAAGGATACAAAGTAGTGGTTGGAGACTTGGAGGGGAGTTGCAGTGAGATTAGTAGAAGAACAGCATCTAGTAAAGATGAGGTCAAGCGTATTGCCTGCCTTGTGAGTAGGGGGGGGGGGGTGGTGAGAGGGTGAGGTCAAAATAGGAAAGGAGTGGAAAGAAGGAGGCAGAGAGAAATGAGTCAAAGGCAGACGTAGGGAGGTTAAAGTCACCCAGAACTGTGAGGGGTGAGCCATCCTCAGGAAAGGAACTTATCAAGGCGTCAAGCTCATTGATGAACTCTCCAAGGGAACCTGGAGGGCGATAAATGATAAGGATGTTAAGCTTGAATGGGCTAGTGACTGTGACAGCATGGAATTCAAATGAGGAGATAGACAGATGGGTCAGGGGGAAAAGAGAGAATGTCCACTTGGGAGAGATGAGGATTCCTGTGCCACCGCCGTGCTAACCAGATGCTCTCGGGTATGCGAGAACACATGATCAGACGAGGAATGAACAGTAGGAGTAGCAGTGTTTTCTGTGGTAATCCATGTTTCCGTCAGCGCCAAGAAGTCGACGGACTGGAGGGTAGTGTAGGCTGAGATGAACTCTGCCTTGTTGGCCGCAGAACGGCAGTTCCAGAGGCTGCCGGAGACCTGGAACTCCACGTGGGTCGTGCGCGCAGGGACCACCAGATTATAGTGGCAGCAGCCACGCGGTGTGAAGCATTTGTATGGCCTGTGCAGAGAGGAGAGGACAGGGATAGACAGACACATAGTTGACAGGCTACAGAAAAGGCTACAATAATGCAAAGGAGATTAACTAAACATCTGGGAAAGCGAGAGAGCATGGCCTCCCTCACTTACATTTCACAGAAACACTCAAATATAACTCTCCCAACTTCCACTTTAGAAATTATAATTGTTGTAAACTACAGCGGTTCAATGTTTTCTAGGAATAGACTCTAACTTAGTTTATTCAGCTAGCTAACTTGGTACAGTATTCTTCAGTGAAAACCGCCCAGGGCACCGTATCCTATGACGCCATAGATAACTAGCGTGCTAGCTTCCAATAATACGGTTTAGCACCAATACTCGGTTACAACAAACTACCAATAGTGTGTTAACATGCTAAACAGATCTTTTGTGTTCGTGTCTAACGTTGTGTAAAGTTTTGGGGTTAGTTTTGACAGTTTGAGTGAGTACGTCGTCAACTTATTCAGCCAGTTAGTTAGCTAGCTAGAATAGTTAGCATATTAGCTAGCCATTGCTCTCTGTCAATGAACCAACCCCTACTCCCACGGTATGAAACACACAGAGAGAGCCAAGCTAACGTTCATTTTCACTTCAAAAAATCCTCTCAGCACTCAGGTGAAACTTCATCTTTCTTTTTTTTTGAAGAAAAGTTGTTTCCCCTCTATCAATTACATTATTTTATAACTGTTGTTTAAAGTTGCTATATATAACTTTTTGGTTGACCCAACCAAATTCACATAGAAATGTGTGTTATAGATCTGTCACTCATTTAAAGCAAGTCTAAGAAGTGGTAGACCTGTTCTATGTGCACTATTTCTATGCTTCCCTTCTTAAGTTTAGTTTTTGCATCTTTTACTTTCGGTTTTGTACACGAGCTTCAAACAGCTGAAAATACAATATTTCTGGTTATGGAAAATGTATTTCACAGCGGTTTATTTGGTACAATGATTCTCTACACTATACTTGCTTGTTTTGACACTTAAACTGAAATATAATATATATATATATATATATAATAAGTGAATTATCCTAATTTTAGCATCCATGAAATGGCCCACATACTGTAGTAGGCTCAACCGGCTGAGTTTGTTTCTCTCTTATCAGTACCTGGGAGGGTCTGCTCTTGGGATGGGACTACTTACGTTATCTTTGACCTACAGTACCAGTAAAAAGTTTGGACCCACCTACTCATTTAAGCCAACAAGTGCTCAGCATATGTGGGAACTCCTTCAAGACTGTTGGAAAAGCAATCCAGGTGAAGCTGGTTGAGAGAATGCCAAGAATGTGCAAAGCTGTCATCAAGGCAAAGGCTGGCTATTTGAAGAATCTCAAATATAAAATATTTTTTGATTTGTTTAACACTTTTTTGGTTACTACATGATTCCATATGTGTTATTTCATAGTTTTGATGTCCACTATTATTATACAATGTAGAAAATAGTAAAAATAAAGAAAAACCCTTGAATGAGTAGGTGTGTCCAAACTTTTGACTGGTAGTGTATATTCTCTTAACTCCCCTCCTTTCCTGTTTCCAGTGACTCTGTACGCCTCCAGCCCCTCATATTTTAGAGGCTTTACACTCATCGCTCTGAAGGAGGGGAAGGAAGGAACCACAGACGACCACTATGCTGGCAAATTCCAGGTAATATATTGTGAATGTTTGCTGTGCTCATATTTGAGTAATTATCTTCTTATTACAAATGCACCCTCCACCTCAAAAAGAGTCAATACATTCCTCCTAAAACCTCAGTAAGAACAGCTAAATGAAAGGAAAGAGTTGTCTCCTTCGCTCAGCTTGCGATGAAAATACACCACCTACTGAGTGAGAGAGCTCTCCACCAGTGAGAACAAATGTCCTTAACTACCTCACAATATAAAAAGGTACAAACGCTCCCACAACCTGCTCAGCCTCAGCCCACACTCCGCACTCTGCCTCCTTCGTCTCCCTGAGTGTGTAACCGTTTTCTATTCTCAAGGTTTGAATCCCATTTTCATTGGCATCTTCAAATGTCCCTAATGCCACCTGTAATAGATAATCAAATACATTCAATATGCATTGTGGTCCTGTTGTGAGGTCCGAACATGGTTATTACAATCTCATTACTACTGAATGGTTTTAGGTTTTTGTATAAGTTGTCAATAACGTTACATTTCATTAAATATAAAGCATTCCATTCACAGCTGGGGGGCAAGCCCGCAGCCCACTCCAATGCATTAACATTATCTCTCAATAGTAGCCACCATTTAATTTGATTTTTGAGTGATATAAAATAAAAGTTAACTATTTATTGCCTGACAAGTATGTGTGGTTTAGGTTAATTTTCCTTCCATTGTGGGCTCTGCCCGTCAAACAGAAGAAGGGCACATTTGCCCATGTATCGCTAAGCTAGAAATTGATAACAACCTATTGTAAAGTGGGACTGATTGTCATCATTTAATTGGACAAATAATTGACAAATCATTCAATGAGATCAGCATGATATAGCAAATTAAATTTTCCATCCTAATGACCATCTGCCGGGAGATGTCCAAACAATGGCCTCAATCAATTTAAATCGAACTAAAGTATGCGCAGATAAAGTTAGCAAAATACTCAATTTGTGCCTTAAACCTCAGAGAAACAAACGCAGATTTCCTAACCCTCCTCGCTCTTATTTATCTAGGCCAGAGATGTTATTACCCAGGGAAGCAAGGGAAGCAAACTATTTTGTTTGGAGAGAGAAGATGAGCCCAGATTATATCTAATCTTGTGTTTACAGAGATTAAAAGCTTCACTTTGTTTCTGGGTTGCTATGGATAGACAGACAAGCTGACTCTGTTGGATATCTGCTCTCTAGGTCAATGGGTGCAAGTACATTACATGCAGCAGGGAAAATACAAATGAGTGGTGGATGATCTACAGAAGCAGACTCCTTAGTAAAGGGATATTACACCACAGCAGGATATGACATGGTGAGGGGGAGATGGTCAACAGGTCAGGGGAAATATATGGTCACCTTGTCCAAGTTTCAATAGCTCCCTGTGTCATCATGACCATGGCGTCTGTTCTTGCTGTGTCTATCCTGATGTAGGTAAAGGTATAGTTGTACCACTCATTTTTTCACATTTAAAAAGCAGAACTCAACTTCACACCTTTATCGAAGGCAAAACATTTGGCCTGCTTTCTTTACACCATCATAATGTTAGTTCCTCTTAAGAGTGTGTTTTCTGGCCGAGTGATCTCCAAGTGATCTCCTGTTTTAAAAGCTTTTCACACAAACCCAGCCAGCGTCAAAGGTTTTAGGGAAAATAACAGGAGGAGTGTTACCATTACCATCTCAGCAGCTGTATTTGTATAGAGCACAGTTCATCATTGCTGTTTTTATTTGGACCAGAGATTGCACGCGACTGTTATTTAGGAGCATCCTTGAGCTAGCTCTCCAGGCTGAAGCTCACTGCAGCATGACAGACTAAATGAAATGCCCAGGAAACCTTGGACCCTTGCTGTAAATACTGTCAAGCCAAGAATGTGCCAGTGATGTATGAAGAAGAAAAATGGCAAAGTGGGTGTTACGAATAGCTTGTTAAATAAGATTAATGAACTATAGAAAATAATTATAGCTAATTGATGTTCTGTTTTTTAAATTATTATTTAAAGCCAATCTGCTAATAAAGTATACAGTAATATAAGAGGTATAACTCTATATATTGATTATCTAATACTGTACCAGACATGTTCAGACATTTTCACTGTTTGAAAAATATATCACATAATAAGATTTGATATCAGAGATAGCTTGAACATCTTTATGGGTTTCCATAGTAATAGAAGTGTTTGATTGATAGGAGGCTCAAGGCAAACGTTTAGTGCTCTCGAGTCTAGAGATTTCCACCGAGATCAGAAGAAACCTGTTACTTTTAAATCATATGTTGATGTGACATTTTAAATATTGTATCAGAAAGTTACATTCGCCCTGAGTCTCTTGCCAAACTATCATCTATTCCATGTCTTGATTTTCGCAGGGGGCTTCTAACCTCTACTCAGTCCAAAAGGAATACTGTCCATCTGCATCTCCTTGAAAATACACATTTACTTATGCAGGCGCTGCAAAGCATCTGTGTTTGCTGTGTCACCCGGGAGAGAATGACTATGAAAACAGCAGTATTTAGCTGCTCCTCCAGACTCCCCCTCCCCCTACAAGACAATGGAACCATTCCCTCCTCCCTCCCACAGGGTAAAAAAATAGATATAGGCTGGGTGTTCTGTAAGAAATGCACAGTTTCCGAAGTAACTCAACTCCAAGTTCAGCTTCCTCCTATACATTTGTTGTTTTCCTTAGCACTGTCAGTTGTTTGGCGCTGCCTGTGACTGACAGGACCTCAATGGTGAAGAGGCACAAAAATACATTTCAGTATGAGTATAATGAGGTCTAAGGAATAGTATGGAGGAATACTGGTGGAGCGGGGAGCTTATGTGAGTCAGAGAGAGGGAGAGAAAAGAGAAAGAGACAAAGACCGAGAGAGTGGGAGATACTAATTATAGTGCGGGAAGACTGGGCTCACAGGGGTACCTAGACAGAATGCAAATTGAAACAATCGTCTGTATCAATGAATACTTTTTATTTTCTAAAAGACCTCCAGAAAGAATTCTTCCTCTTACGCAAACGTATCAAGAAAAATTGCTTCCCTCCCTTACTTTCTGTCATGTGTGAAGCATCTGGCTGTTAGATCAATATGATTGTGTAGCCGGGGCAGCTGGCGAACATTCATCGTGGCCCCAGAGGTCATCTCTGTGTGAGTCTGCTGCTCGTCACGCCTGGTTTTTATTACTCTCTCATGGCCGTGACATAGAGGGGGACTGGGATGAACACGCCATGGACTCACAACATTGTTTTACCACTTTCTCGTTGCGTAACTTGGAGTATTATTTTATTACTGTCCTACTTTCAAGGACAGGTGAAGGGATGCCTAGAATGTTATGCACTGCACACTCAACTGTCAATCAACCAGTCAAATTTGTAGAGAGATGAGGTGAAACAACATACCTAGAGTGGAATTCAATGTCATAATGTATTACGACAACTCTGTTATCTATAATTTTTTACTGAAGACATCTGAGTTTTCATCAGTTTTAAGAGGAGAAGTTCACATATCAAACTACACAAAACAATTTGTTACAGTACGTGTAATGCCAGTGTTGGCATCTGAAAAGGATTCCATTTGAAAACATTCAGCCACGTGTGACTGTGAAATACACTATTGATCATGGTATGTGGGCGTAGTGGAGTGTGACACAGCAGCGAGGTGACAACAGAATACAGATTACAGCCTGTCTGAGATGCTAAACCATTGGTTTATTACAGGAGCCCTGAATTATAGCATTGATCAATAACTAAAATTAGTCATAAGTCTCAGCCGTGATAATTAAAACTTTAAACTTTTTCGGCACAGATGTAGTGAGCAGAGTACCATGGTTGAAAGTTAAAATACATTTGATCTATTTTTGAAAATATAAAATGTTATTGACACAATTACTCACTTTTTTTGCATTTATAACTTTTCGTTTTTGGAAAAACATTTATAAAAAAGTAAAAAAAATCTATCTTTTTGTTTTTGTTCAAAAGGTGATTTTGGTGAGAAGTGTTGTGTTTCTGACTGATTTCCTGTGTTCCCTAGATCATAGATGAGGAAGACACCCAGTTCATGACCAACTGTCCCCCTGCTGTGACTGAGAGCACCCCCCGCAGGAGGACCCGGATCCAAGTGTTCTGGACAGCACCCCGTTCTGGCATCGGCTGTGTCATCCTCAAGTGGGTACCTTTTAATACTGATACTATTACACCAGTTATTACACTACTACCACTACCATAAATCTCTGTTACTGGTATTTGTTTATCTCTTTGGATCCCCATTAGCTTTTGCAGAAGCAGCAGCTACTCTTCATGCGTTCCACAAAAAGCACAAAACATGACAAGTGTGCGTGTCCCCTCACAGTAATATTTCTAATTCAAACTAGAAGAGAAGCAGTTAATCTCTCGTCAACCCTCAACCAGGAAAGACTGGCATGCATGTTGTTGATGTTAGTTCTGTATGTGCAGTTAAGAGCAAGGCATGCTGCTCTGTTTTGAGCCAGCTACAGCTTTGCCAGGTCATTCTTTGCTACACTTGACCATATTACCGGACAGTAATCAAGATGGGAAAAGACCTGTTAGTGCTAACAATTATTTGTTTCAGAATACTATTTCTCAATATTGATACAGATGGGGTCAAATATATTGGCACCTTAGCACAATTGACAATTTCTTCTAAAATAAGTTGAAATTGAAAACTTTTGGTGTTCACATGTGTATTTGTTTGATTATTTTATTTAAACTTCATTTAACCAGGCACGTCAATTATGAACAAATTCTTATTTACAATTACGGCAAGAGGTAAAAGGCCTCCTGTGGGTCCGAAAAAAATGTAATAAATAAAAAAGTACGACAAAATGGACAACAGACATACAACACTGTCAACCGCACAAATACAAAAGTAAACAAAGTGTGTGCGTGGAGGCATGTGTGTGGTGTGTTTTGAAGTTCAACAACATGCTTCCTTACATATGGCAACGCAAACTAGTGACATGGGGTGACAACTAGAAACAACTACAGTTGAAGTCGGAAGTTTACATACACTTAGGTTGGAGTCATTAAAACTAGTTTTTCAACCACTCCACACATTTCTTGTTAACAAACTATAGTTTTGGCAAGTCGGTTAGGACATCTACTTTGTGCATGACACAAGTAATTTTTCCAACAATTGTTTACAGACAGATTATTTCACTTATAATTCACTGTATCACAATTCCAGTGGGTCAGAAGTTTACATACACTAAGTTGACTGTGCCTTTAAACAGCTTGGAAAATTCCAGAAAATTATGTCATGGCTTTAGAAGCTTCTGATAGGCTAATTGACATCATTTGAGTCAATTGGAGGTGTAACTGTGGATGTATTTCAAGGCCTACCTTCAAACTCAGTGCCTCTTTGCTTGACATCATGGGAAAATCAAAAGAAATCAGCCAAGACCTCAGAAAACAAATTGTAGACCTCCACAAGTCTGGTTCATCCTTGAGAGCAATTTCCAAACGCCTGAAGGTACCACGTTCATCTGTACAAACAATAGTACGCATGTATAAACACCATGGGACCACGCAGCCGTCATACCATGCAGATGAGCATATTTTGGTGCGAAAAGTGCAAATCAATCCCAGAACAACAGCAAAGGACCTTGTGAAGATGCTGGAGGAAACCGGTACAAAAGTATCTATATCCACAGTAAAACGAGTCCTATATCGACATAACCTGAAAGGCCGCTCAGCAAGGAAGAAGCCACTGCTCCAAAACCACCATAAAAAAGCCAGACTATGGTTTGCAACTGCACATGGAGAAATGTCCTCTGGTCTGATGAAACAAAAATAGAACTGTTTGGCCATAATGACCATTGTTATGTTTGGAGGAAAAGGGGGGTGGCTTGCAAGCCGAAGAACACCATCCCAACCGTGAAGCACGGGGGTGGCAGCATCATGCTGTGGGGGTGCTTTGCTGTAGGATGGACTGGTGCACTTCACAAAATAGATGGCATCATGAGGAAGGAAAATTATGTGGATATATTGAAGCAACATCTCAAGACATTAGAAGGGCGTTAAAGCTTGGTCGTAAATGGGTCTTCCAAATGGACAATGACCCCAAGCATTCTTCCAAAGTTGTGCCAAAATGGCTTGAGGACAACAAAGTCAAGGTATTGGAGTGGCCACCACAAAGCCCTGACCTCAATCCTATAGAAAATTTGTGGGCAGAACTGAAAAAGTGTGTGCGAGCAAGGAGGCCTACAAACCTGACTCAGTTACACCAGCTCTGTCAGGAGGAATGGGCCAAAATTCACCCAACCTATTATGGGAAGCTTGTGGAAGGCTACCCAAAACGTTTGACCCAAGTTAAACAATTTAAAGGCAATGCTACCAAATACTAATTGAGTGTATGTAAACTTCTGACCCACTGGGAATGTGATGAAAGAAATAAAAGCTGAAATAAATAATTCTCTCTACTATAATTCTGACATTTCACATTCTTAAAATAAAGTGGTGATCCTAACTGACCTAAGACAGGGAATTTTTACTAGGATTAAATGTCAGGAATTGTGAAAAACTGAGTTTAAATGTATTTGGCTAAGGTGTATGTAAACTTCCGACTTCAACTGTACATGTCTGCGTGTTGCTAGTGATATCGACCCGACAACCCTGTAGAGATCACAATGGTGAGTTAGACGTCTCTGATTGGTGACTAAACGAAGGGCTGCATGATACACATAGTCAAGAGCCTTCAGTATAGAGCTTGAGGCTTGCACATAAATAGTATCACCATATTCCAACACAGAGAGAATTTCAACGAATCAACTATTTTCTGGCGGCAAAGAAAAAACAAGCTTTGTGCTGGTAATAAAACCCAATACGCAGCTTGAGTTTCCTGACAAGGTTCTCTACATGGGTGGTGAAGCGCAACTTCTCATCCACCCAAACTCCCATATATTTGTACATCTTTACTTGCTCTATAGAATGGTTCTTCCAAGGTAGTAATTACATGGTTCTCAGTGTTTTAGTATTGGAAAATACCATGCACTTTGTTTTAAAGGAATTCAGAACAAGCTTCAAATCATACAGATTCTGTTGAATGTTAAACACTGTTTGAGCTTTTTCAAAAGCCAAAGTCAAACTGCTGCGACTTGAATAGAGAACGATGTCATCCACATAAAAATGTACATCAGCTGTTTCAATATGTCTCCCAATGTTGTTGATATAAATAATAAACAGCAGGGGACCTAAAATGTATCCTTGAGTCACACCCGAGCACAACTCTATGGTGTCCGATTTAAAACCATCTGCCTTAACATACTGGATTCGATTTGACATGTAGTTCACAAACCACTCCAGAGCATGACCAGTAATCCCAATACACTTCAATCTCTGCACCAAGACAGTATGATCCACAGTGTCAAATGCATTTGACAAGTTGATGAATACAGATACACAATGCAACTTCTTATCCAGGGCACAATGACTATCATTCAAAACCCTCAAAGTGTGCTGTGACAGTGCTGTGGCTAGACCTGAAACCTGATTGCATACCACTCAAAATATTGTTTTCCTGGAGTGGAGGTAGGCCTTAAGCTGCTTATTGACTGGGATACCTTTGCCAGGACAGACCATTTACATCAATTGATTTCAGGGCTCTGTGCACCTCTGAGACAGAAGGGTGAGAAGGAGAACTTGGAGAAGGAGTGCTCAGGAGAGTGAGGTAATTTCACAGGGGGCTCATGTTGACCTTTAACCCTACCAAATAATCTGCCTGCATCAAGAAAATGTTGATTAAAAGTGTTCAGAATAGAGGTTCTATTAGTTTCCACCTGTGAGTCAACCTGCAGTTGTTTAGGGAGTTGTGCATCTTTTTTGCAGTCTAAACCTTTCACTACTTGCCAAAATGTAGAAGGATTATTCTGATTATCAGCAGTAGATTTGAGGTAGTGATCTGCCCTCCCTGATTCCAAAGGCATTTAAAAGCCATCCAATCATCAGCTGAATCAGATCTTCTTGCTTTAGCCCACAAACCATTCCGTTTCCCTATGATTTCAGCTAGTTCATCTGTCTCTGCCCTTAATTCTGTATTGTTTGAAAGGGGCATGCTTGTTGCATACATCCTGGAATGCTTTATGGAAGTAATAAAAGGCTAATTCAACATTGGGCATGAATTCAACTCTATTCCAGGTCATTTAAAAAACCCTGAGTATCAAACTGCTTCCAGTTTTTTTTATGATGATACTTGGAGGTAGTTTAGGAACCATCCCTTACACAGGCAACAGCACAGTGATCACTTATATCATTTGCATAAACACCAGAAGCATTAAAACGATGTGGAGATTTGGTTAAAATAAGATCAATCAAAGAGTATTTTAGAGGACACTTTGCATTCAACCTTGTTTAATTGTTATCAATTGGAGTAAGATTGTAGGTATTACATAGATACCAGTCTAGGTTCAGGTCACCCATAAGCACAAATTCATAATTAATAATACAATCCAGGAGCCAGCAATAGCAGATGGGGGGTCTGGGGGGATGCACAGAGATTTATATTGAAAGACAGATATTCAAATTGCTTGGGATTGGTAACAGAAGTCAGAATGGTCGCTGAAAACGTGTATTTTATGTATATAGCAACACCACCACCCTTAGATTTGTGTTCAGACCGAAAAACATTGTAGCCATGTATTTGTCAGTGATAAAAATTTTTGAGCCAGTTTGAGCACATTTCCTGACAGTAAAAACAAAAAAAAATTGCAAGTCTAGATCGGATTTTACAACATTTGAATTCAGACAGTACTAAAATCAGTCTTTAACACAACATATTTCAAAAGGTGTGTACAGTCCAGATACATAGGTAAGTACCGAAGGAACAAAATATTCTGCTATATTGCACTCCATTGTAAAGTGCAAGGGTGCAAATATATTTAAACGCATCTGTATGACCAGTTACTTGTCAAAGTAGAATAGAAGAATAACACATCTCTGTGTATAACACACCATAGCTGTGTTCGAATACCCATACTAACATACTGTATACTACATACTTAATGAGTATATACTACATACTATATATTATTAGTTCATTTTAGTATACTGTAAACGAACGGTATCCTTTCAGTTGAGCGTACTAGCGCTTCGCCTGTCTACCGGAAGTTGATGCTGTTGCTGTGCAACCTCTTGCTAGCTTGTTAGAATAACAAAGTACTAGCTAGACATCTTACGACTTTGGGTGTGTTCATAAATTCAATCTGGCGTGCCAGAGAGCGCTCAGAGTGTTCGTAAATTCTGAGCGTTGTCAGATTGTCCGTTCGTAAATTCAGAGTGTACACTGGATGCTCTGGCCGAGGAGTAGGATTGATCCGAGCGTTCTGACCTCACAACGGCAGTCAAGCACCCGAGCTAACTGGCTAAAGTTGGCTAGCTTGCTAGCTACTTCCAGACACAAATGAGAGAACACCTCATGCTGACCATTTTACTTGCCCTAGCAGAGCTGGCTAGGCTGTTTTCATGTTATCCAGAGCGTTGGTGACTAACTGTGCTGCTGGCAACAATTTAATTACGCTTTTTTGCCGACGTTCAAGTAGGTTTCGGTTTTGCTATGAGTGTTGGTGATGGTGGATGGGTGTAAGCATCTGCCTCTGTTTCGAAAGGTTGCATGTGGAATCCAGCGATAGAAAGTTGTTTTTTATATTTTTGTTTTAAGCATATCCCAAACCTTAACCCTTACCTTAACCATTCAGAGTTAATGTCAAACCTTAAGAATTCAGAGTTATTTTAGATGCATACCTGCAAAGCAACTACACAACACAACACAACACTAAACAATACATTAATTGCACTATAATGGTGACAACAAAACAAAAAACAACCCACACAATATCAACTGGAATTACATGCATCTATTACTGAACTTTTTGTTGAAAACAAATACTTGAATGGGAAGAGACTCACTGACAAACATGGTTTCAGACCCAACAACATTAGTATAGTATCCCCTCCTCGTGAAAAAAAGCACGAGCTCATTTATGCAGCAGCATACAAGACATTTCTGGACTCACCGTTGTTGTGCTCACTTGAACAGGAAGGTGGCACGGCGTTCCTTCTTGTGGGCAAATTTTGTCATCAAAGGTGCTTTCAAGACAACTGGGAGGTTGAATCATGACGTTAGTGATCTTCAGGTTGGAGCTGTAGAAAGAGGCCCGAGTTCCCGGCTTGGATTTCCGAGTTGGATAACCGCTCAAAACTTATTTTCCCAGTCGGAGCTCTTTTTTTTTTTTCCTGTTCTGAGTTTCCTGTTGTTTTGAATGCGGCATAAATCATGCTGGATTGACAGCATGGCCAATGTATTCAACCTTTTCTGGCCCATGGTGTTGCAAGTAAATGTTTATCCTTTTAAGCTGGGAAAAGAGACCATTTCAGACAGATGTTTTAAATCCTTAAACCCAGACTTGGACCACACACCTTCTCCACCAAATAGCAGGCATGGGAAGCAAAATAGTGATTGCTTTGCAACGCTTGCAGTGAGCCACTGTTTCCTTCCAAACTACTCATTGTTGAATTTGCGATTTCCAACTTGTTGTGTAATGTTTATGTCCAATGGCCGATGAGCACCGATACCATTATCTATAATTTATCTTCATATGACAAGGATTGAAAAGGATTTGCCAGTAGATTGTCGACGTGATTCATGATGATGACTGCTTGTCTAGCTTGATAGCTAAGATTTTGAAAGTAACATGATAAGTCCAATCAAAGCTATGGTAGATATAACGTGATTTTACATTTTATCTGTGGCCAATGACCTTGAGCCTTCTTGGATAGGCACTTCTGATGTAAATCTATGGCAGCACCCAATGAGGCTTGAACTGCCTAGCTCTCCCTGTAGATTCTGCGGTGACGTAGTGTCCCCATGAGTGACAGAAGATTGAGCCAATCACGGCGCAACTAGAGAAGATTACCAACGCCTATGCTCTTTATATTCCGCTGGCTGCCCCTCCACCACAGAAAGCACTGAGCTAGGCTGAAACACCTGCATTTTGGAGCTGCCTTACTCAAGAAAGAGACCATATTTGTATGTGGCTTTATTAAGTCAATTATTATCTTTTTTTCTTTACATTGTTTGCAAACTGGTATGTGACGTGAATGAATGCCAAAATAACAGGCAAAACAGGCAACAAATACAAATAATTTTGGGGCTCAAAACAGGTGGGCCTCTGCCCCACCTGCCCTGAATGACTGTTCGCCACTGATTAGAGCGGCGTGTGGGTTAAACTCGTCCCAAGGCAACTCCTATTTGAATTTTGATTGCTGTCTAAAGAAGTGAACTCTGATGGGCCCCTGTAATTCTTTGGCAGTCATGAAGCATGAGCCAGATTCATTCCAAAAGCTGCTCTTTGACAGGCATTGTTGAACTTCAGGCAGTGTTGGAATTAGACAAAATCGGCAAACACCACATACACAGTAGACACAAACAATTGTTAGCTATTGTGATAAAGGCAATGTACAGAGTTTTCTAGTCGACCCACATAAAATACTGTGTATGTGTTACAGGCCCCAGGAATGTGGCCTGAATTGAATTGACAGGAAAGCACAATTAAATGTATTGTCTTTTACTGCATTGGCTTCATGAGTTGTCCATAAAGATGAATTTCATAGTGTTCATTCATTAGAACAAATAGCACATTTAACATAGCAAAGAGACAACTGGCTACATAGACAGAATCGAATACAGATAATTAGGCTAGCTAGCCAAAAAGATAATCTTCAGTTTCTAGCTATGGTGGCTAGCTAGCAAAACTATTAGCTAAATGTACTGTGGATACAGTTGAAGTCGGAAGTTTACATACACCTTAGCCAAATACATTTAAACTCAGTTTTTCACAATTCCTGACATTTAATCCTAGTAAAAATCCCCTGTCTTAAATCAGTTAGGATCACCACTTTATTTTTAGAATGTGAAATGTCAGAATAATATTAGAGAGAATTATTTCTTTCAGCTTTGATTTCTTTCATCACATTCCCAGTGGGTCAGAAGTTTACATACACTCAATTAGTATTTGGCAGCGTTGCCTTTACATTGTTTAACTTGGGTCAAATCCAGAAAATCACAATGTAGGATTTTTAATGAATTGATTTGCAAATTATGGTGGAAAATAAGGATTTGGTCACCTACAAACAAGCAAGATTTCTGGCTCTCACAGACCTGTAACTTCTTCTTTAAGAGGCTCCTCTGTCCTCCACTTGTTACCTGTATTAATGGCACCTGTTTGAACTTGTTATCAGTATAAAAGACACCTGTCCACAACCTCAAACAGTCACACTCCAAACTCCACTATGGCCAAGACCAAAGAGCTGTCAAAGGACACCAGAAACAAAATTGTAGACCTGCACCAGGCTGGGAAGACTGAATCTGCAATAGGTAAGCAGCTTGGTTTGAAGAAATCAACTGTGGGAGCAATTATTAGGAAATGGAAGACATACAAGACCACTGAAAATCTCCCTCGATCTGGGGCTCCACGCAAGATCTCACCCCGTGGGGTCAAAATGATCACAAGAACGGTGAGCAAAAATCCCAGAACCACACGGGGGGACCTAGTGAATGACCTGCAGAGAGCTGGGACCAAAGTAACAAAGCCTACCATCAGTAACACACTACGCCGCCAGGGACTCAAATCCTGCAGTGCCAGATGTGTCCCCCTGCTTAAGCCAGTACA